AGGGAGGGACGAAACTCGCCCCGGGGAGGGGAGAAAGATTGGTGGGGAGAAACCAGACCCGGGAGGACGAAAAAGATATGGGGACAAACATGCCCCAGGAGGGACGAAAGATGGGGGGGGACAACCCTTAAGGCAAAGGGAAAGAAATACAGAACAAATTTTGGGCGGGGACGGGATTAATGAACCCGGGGGGAAATTCCCCGGGGAAAACATTTTGGGGGGAAAGAAAAAACCCACAAAAGGGCGAAAGAGGGCGGGGAAAAGACAGAAAAAACAAAAAAAAAAACAAAAAAAAGATGGGAGACGAAAACAGAGGGACGATAATTGGACCAGCGAGAGAGACAGAGAGGCAGAGGAGGGAACATGACCCGGGAAAAGGACTGAACAAGGACAGAGAAGACTGAGAGATGGAATGGAGCAAGAACGAATGATCAGGGAATGGAAGCTGAAAGAAACAGAGAGAGGGAGAAACAGAGAGATGGAGGCAGAGACATAAAACCAGGGAGACAGAGAGATGGAGAAGACAGCAAAACAGGAGGGGGACGAGAAGGATGGGACAGAGCAGAGACAGAAGGGACAGAAGATGGAGACAGAAGCAGAGACCGAGAGAAGACGAGGAGAGCCCCAGAGGACAGAGAATGGAGCACAGGCAGAAAAGAGAGAGACAGAGAATGGAACAGAGACAGGATTAAGAGAGGGACAGAGAAGAGAGACATGAAGGCAAGAGAGACAGAGACAGAGAACAAGAGATGGGACAGAGACAGACAGAGAGATAGAGACCAGGCTGAGGACAGAGAGGACAGAGGACGGGAGGGATGGAGTACGAGACAGAGACAGAGACAGAGAGATGGAGACTCAGAGACAGAGAGGACAGATAAGAGACAGAGCAGAGAGAGGGAGTACAGAGACTCAGGACAGAGGGACAGAGAAGATGGAGACAGAGACAGAGACAGGAACCAAGAGATGAAACGAGAAGAGACCAGGAACATGAGAGGACGATGAGACAGCTGAGGAACAGAGTAAGGAGTACAGGAATGGAGACAGAACAGAGACAGAGACAGAGACAGAGAGATGGAGACAGAGAACAGTCAGACAGAGAGCAGAGAGGAGACAGACAGGAGAGACGAAGAGACAGAGAGATGGAGACAGAGACGATGGAGCAGAGAGCAGAGCAGAGAACAGAGAAGAGACAGAGACAAGACAGGAGACAGAGAATGGAGACAGAGACAGAGAGACAGAGACAGAGAAGAGGAGCGGACTGAGACAGAGACAGAGAGAGGGACAGAGAGATGGAACAGAGACAGAGACAGAGACAGAGACAGAGGATGGAGACAGAGACATAGACAGAGACAGAGAGATGGAGACAGAGACAGAGACAGAGAGAGACAGAGACAGAGAGATGGAGACAGAGACAGAGACAGAGACAGAGATGGAGACAGAGACAGAAGACAGAGAATGAGAAGAGACAGAGGATCAGAGACAGAGATGGAGACAGAACAGAGACAAGAAGATGAGACAGACAGAGACAGAGACAGAGACAGAGAGCAGAGCATGAGACAGAATGGAGACAGAGAGGGACAGAGACAGAGACAGAGAGTGGAGACAGAGACAGAGACAAGATGAGACAGAGACAGAGACATGGAGACAGAGAAGACAGAGACAGAGACAGATGGAGACAGAGACAGAGACAGAGACAGAGAGAGAGACAGAGACAGAGACAGAGAAGAGAGACAAGAGGAGACGAGACAGACAGAGACCAGTGACAGAGACAGAGACAGAGATGGAGACAGCAGAGACAGAGACAGAGATGGAGACCAGAGACAGAGACAGAGACAATGAGACAGAGAAGGAGGACAGAGACAGAGACAGAGACAGAGATGGAGACAGAGACAGAGACAGAGACAGAGACAGAGACAGAGCAAGACAGAGATGGAGACAGAGACAGAGCAGGAGACAGAGAACAGAGACAGAGATGAGAGAACGACAGAGACAGAGACAGAGACTAGAGAATGGAGACAGGAGACAGAGACAGAGACAGAATGGAGACAGAGAAGACGGCATAGACAGAGAGAAGGAGACAGAGAGAGACAGAGACAAGAGACGAGAGACAGATGACAGAGACAGAGACAGAGACAGAAGAGGAGACAGAGATACAGAGACAGAGATGGAGACAGAGAGACAGAGACAGAGACAGAGATGGAGCAGAGACAAGACAGATGCGAGACAGAGACAGAGATAGACAGAGACAGAGACAGAGGACAAGAGAACAGAGACTGGAGACAGAGACAGAGCAGAGACAGAGATGAGACAGAGACAGAGACAGAGACAGACAGAGACAGAGACAGAGACAAGACAGAGACAGAGACAGAGACAGAGACAGAGACAGAGGACAGGACAGAGACAGAGACAGAACAAGACAGAGAAGACAGGAGAGACTAGAGAGCAGAGACGACAGAGACAGAGACAGAGACAGAGACAGAGACAGAGACAGAGACAGAGA